CCCCTCCACCCCTTTTCTGTTCGTTCTCCCGGGTCTCTCCCTTGCTCCTGATTCTCCACGCCCTAGTCTTCCTCCCTCTCCCGCTACCCCATACCACGTCTTCCTTCCTCTCCCACTACCCCCCACGTCTTCCTTCCTTGCTCTCCGTTCTACGTCTTCCTTCCCTCCCACTGCCCCCCCCCTGTTTCCTCTTGTTCCAGGCTTTGGTGCGCGTGCCCCAGAGTGTGTGTTCAGTGTTCCCCATCCCTCGCTGCCCGGTTTCTTCTGTTATTCCTCTTGTTCTTGGTTCTCGAGCGCCTCCCGTTTCACAATAGTTTTGTTTCCTCTCCCCCTTCCTCCTCGCCGCCGCGTCGGCTTTTTCTCCTCTCTCCCCCTCGTCCCTTCTTCGCGCTTCCTTCTCTCCGCCTCCCTCCTGCTCTTCGGCTTCCCGACGCTGCAAGACGGCCCAAGTCGTCCCCAAGACAGCACCAAGGCAGCCCAAGAGGTCCCCGCGACTTCCCGAATACGACGCCAGAGAGCGCCAAGACGGCCCCAGATGTCGCCACGACGGTCCAAGCGGCCCTCAAGACGGCCCCAAGACAGGGGCAATAGCGGGGATTCAAACTGACATTTGGAGCCCAGATGCCAACAGGCCCCCGAAGCGCCCCGAAAAAGTCTTAAGAGGCCACCAGGAGAGCCCTATCAACTCCGGATATGCCCCATCCCTGCCTCACCGCCCAGAACCCCCAATTCCGCAGAACCCCCAAAAGCATTCCAAGAACGTCCCCCAAAGGCATCCCAAAGACTCCCAGCATGGTCTTCCCAGGCTCTTGGGTGTTCTCGGATGTCCCCCCTTAGGCTGCCCTGTGTCCTCCTCTTGGATGCCTTGCGCGACTTCCTGGAGCCTTATTCAGCGCCTCCCGAAGCATCCGCCAGGAAGTACGCTCCCACATGGTGACCCCTGCGGGATGATGTCCTTCCTCATCCGATCTCGTGAGGTTGGCTTGGACTGCGCTAGAACCTACGCGCGCGCAAAGCGCGCGTCGTTCTAGTATAGATACACACACATACATACATATACATATATATATATATATACACAACCAACACATCCAACATATCCAGCACACCTCAGAACAAACAAACATAGGAGAGCTCCAGGTCGTCTGTGGTGCATCTGCGTACTTCATCGGCGGCTGCGTGATCTCGTGCGCCGTGGGGGGTGTCGCCACGGTGGCACCGTCTGGCATCACGGTGCGGCAGAAGGACAGAGTGGCAGTGTTCTTCGAGGTGACCGTGATGGAAGCACCCCCGGGCTCCACGTGCTCGGTGGGCATCGCGACGGCCCAGTTTGCCCAGAGCGAGAACGTGCAGCGTGTTGGCGAGGACGCGCATTCCTGGGGCGTGGGAGGTCTTGGGCGTACGCCCGCGAAGCTGCACGACAGGCACTCCGACAGCTTCGGCTCTCCCGCTTGGTCTCCTGGTACTGTAGTGGGAGTTCTGGTTGATCTTCAGAATGAGCAAAAAGCAGCTCTCCGCTTCTTCCTCAACGGAGAGGAGTTGCAGAAGGCAGAGTTCAGCAACATCCCTCTCGCTGGGGATGGTGTCGTGGTCCCTGTCTTCACTGTTGAATACGGGGCAAAGTTGTACGTCAACTGGGGCAACGAGAAGCTGCGATACAGACCGCCGAGCCTTGATTCCAGTGTGCTGACGGTGAGCCAACTAGCGAACCTTGATATTGATGGTAAGGTGCGAAAGAGGGACCTGAAGGAAGGTAGCGACAAGCTTGGCAAGATGCTGTTGGGCGCCGATCTGAATAATCAGGGCTTCATTAAAAATTATGTCAAATGGGTCGTCCAGGAGGAGTCAGAGGGCTTGTATTCCGTCCGGCTTGACACGAAGTTTGCTTGGATGGGTTGTGCCCCGGAGCCTATATATCTTCACGGCATGCTGCTTACCACGGGGAGGTGGTACTACGAGGTCGAAATCAGTGAGACGCCAGGAAATTTCTTCAAGCTGACAGCAGGCTACGCAGACGCGCGATGCGATGGGAAACCGAAGGACCAGTATGGCCACTTCGGTGTGGGCGAGGTGCCTGGCAGCTGGGGAATGGACGTGGCCGATACAGAACTCGCTGGCGACGGGAAGCCGGCCTGCTTCCTCCACATGGAAGGGAACGACTACGAGGCCAAGCAGGGTGATATCTACGGCTTCGAGGCCGACATCGACAACGCTACCATAGCCATTCACTACCGCGGCATCGCCGAGGTGCCGCCAAAGGTGGGCCTGGCGTTCGTGAAGGTCCCCTTCCAGGGTGGCCTGCGGCCCATCATCGGATTCGGCCGAGGGAACAAAAAGATCCAGCTTCGCTGCCGCGATTCCGCCGCCTCGCTCGGGGAGGTTGAGAGGGGGGCGGGGCGCCTTGGGGAGGGGGAAGGGGGATGGTCCACAAAGCTTCCCCGCCCCATGGGGTTTTCTTTATAGACGCAGAGAGTCGGTCACGACAATTAGCGCATCTGGGGTTCGATGCGCCGGGGGGGCAAACAGTTGCTTCGCGAGAATCCAAAGGACCCGACGCACACCAACCGCTGCAGGCGCGGTGGCGGATACACATCAATTTGAGCCCTCCGCCGGAACACATCCCACCCGGCGCGCGCCCGGTGCAGGAGTACGTGAACAAGGCGCAGCGTCTGCTCGAGACGAATCCAGCGGACCCGCTCGCGGTACGCAGGAGTTCGGAAACGAAAAAACGGCACAACCATCAGAATGAGGGGGTCGAGCGCTCATTCACTGTCCCTGGGCGCGTGGTTGAAGTGGGGCTTCGCGACGCGGATTGTTGTTGTTGTTGTTGTTGCTGTTGTTGTTGTTGTTGTTGTTGTTGTTGTTGTTGTGTTTTCGCTTCAAAAGACTAATTAGGAAGGCCTTGCAGCCGGTGCCGCCGACCCTGGCTGAAGGTGGACTACGATGACGACGCTGACGCTCTGGAGCCCTTCTTGGAGCTTTTTGGGGAGGGGACTCCTTGGGAAGCGCCGTGGCCACTTGGAGCCGCCTCGGAGCCCCCACAAGGGGACCACCCCCCTGTCCCCGTTGTCCACAGGGGGCCACGCCCCAGGGGGAGGTCACGACCCCCCGGGACCTCCCCCGACCACCCTGGGACCCCCCCGGGGCCCCTCCAGCTACCCCTCCTGGGACCCCCCCAGGGCCCCCCTCTTCTATACCCACCCGCTAGAAACTCGCTCCCAGGCAGAAGTGTGCGCTCCCTGGCGAAAGGGTTCGATCTCGGGCGGAAGATGACAAGCTCTGAAGGGTTCGTTCCCCGGCGGAGAATTTTTCATATTGTTGTCTTTCCCAACCATCCTGTAGTGTTGGGTCCTCGTTTTGAAATAACGGTCCCCGCGTTCTCCTTCTTCTCCTCCTCGTCCTCCTCCTCCCCTCCTCCCTCCATCACCATCACCATCACCATCACCATCACCATCATCATCATCATCATCATCATCATCACCATCATCAGTATCATCATCATCATCATCCACATCACCACCATCATCATCATCATCATCATCATCATCATCATCATCATCATCATCATCATCATCATCATCATCATCATCATCATCATCATCATCCGTTTCAGCACACTCCTCACACGTTTCGTGGCCCCATAGGGGGCCCCACCGAAGGTCCCAGCGCTACCATCCGCATGCGTCCCCCACACCCAGTACAGCGCTTCGTGGCCCCATAGGGAGCACCACCGAAAGTCCCAGTGCTACCGCTCACATGCGTCTCCCACACCCAGTACAGCGTTTCGTCGTCCCCTCCTCCCTCCTCCCTGCGTTTCACCCACCCAGTGCAGCGTTTCGTGGCCACTAGGGAGCCCCTGCCGAAGATCCCAACCCTACCGTCCGCATATGTCCCCCACACCCAGTATAGCGTTTCGTGGCCCCCTTCTCCCTCCTCCCTGCGTTTCACCCACCCAGTACAGCGCTTCGTGGCCCCATAGGGAGTCCCACCGAAGGTCCCAGTGCTACCGTCCGCATGCGTGCCCCGCCCGCATGCGTCCCCCCCACCCAGTACAGCGTTTCGTGGCCCCATAGGGAACTCAACCGACGGCCCCAGTGATACCGCCCGTATGCGTTCCCCCCACCAAGTGCAGTGCTTCGTGGCCCCATAGAGAGCTCCACCGAAGAAGATATTCACAATTGCGGTACCCACAACTGCAGATGGTTGGGTCCTTCGCCAGGATAATTTGTTGGGCAATTTTTAAGCTTCCCAGAAACTGTTGGAGAAGCCGTGGGGCATCATGAACTACCTTGACGGAATCGCCGACATGTTTCCGGGGAGCGAACTCAGCAGAACTGCGATGCTGATGGTACAGCTGGCTCTCAGGAGTCCTCACGAATCCTGAGGCCCCGCAAAGAATTTGAAACACTGTGTTTAAGAAACTGCTCAGAGTCTCTTAAGAAGCTGCTTAGAGGCTCCTCGAAGGCTCCACAAAAGGTGTTCAGGAGGCTCCTGAGAGGAACCTCAGATACTGCACGATCTCCAGGAATCCTGCAATAACCTTCGCACATGCAGTGCACGAACGGATCACACAGCAGCGGTGGTAGCACTCGCATCAGCAGTGGTAATCGTGGTAGTGGTCGCGATCGTGGTGGTACGATTGACAGTAGTAACAGTCTTAGTAGTAGCAGAAGGAAAGTATGAAGAAGTAGTAGTAGTAGTAGTAGTAGTAGTAGTAGTAGTAGTAGTAGTAGTGGTAGGAGTAGTAGTAGTCGTAGCAGTAGTAGTAGTAGTAGTAGTAGTAGTAGTAGTAGTCGTAACAGTAGTAGTCGTAGTAGTAGTAGTAGTAGTAGTAGTAGTAGTAGTAGTAGTAGTAGTAGTAGTAGTAGTAGTAGTAGTAGTAGTAGTAGTAGTAGTGGTAGTAGTAGTAGTAGTAGTAGTAGTAGTAGTAGTAGCAGCAGTATGTCGTAGTGATACGAGTGGTAGTAGTAGTAGTAGTAGTAGTAGTAGTAGTAGTAGTA